GGCAGAGGTGGTTAGGGGCGATCAGGCCAGCAGGGGAGAGCAGTTAGGGACGATCAGGCCGGCAGGGGAGAGCAGTTAGAGGTGATCAGGCCCGTGAGAGCAGGTAGGGGCGATCAGGCAGGCAGGCAGAGTGGTTAAGGATGATCAGGCAGGCAGGCAGGTGAGCAGTTAGGAGCCAGCAGTCCCAGATTGCGAGAAGGTCGGGACATCTTCCGGACATCCTTCCGGACATCTTTACGGACAAAGCCATTGTGGTGGGGGCCAAGGCAGAGGTGGTTAGGGGCGATCAGGCCAGCAGGGGAGAGCAGTTAGGGGCAATCAGTCCGGCAGGGGAGAGCAGTTAGGGGCGATCAGGCCTGTAGGGGAGAGCAGTTAGGGACGATCAGGCTGGCAGGGGAGAGCAGTTAGGGGCGATCAGGCTGGCAGGGGAAAGCAGTTAGGGGCGATCAGGCCGGCAGGGGACAGCAGGTTGGGGCGATCAGGCCTGCAGGGCAGAGCAGCTAGGGGCAATCAGGCAGGCAGGCAAGTAAGTAGTTAGGAACCAGCGGTCCCAGATCGCGAGAGGGATGTCCAACTTCCGGTTTAGGTCCGATCCCTGTGGACATCCCCTGAGGGGTCCCGGATTGGAGAGGGTGCAGGCCTGGCTGAAGCACCCCTCCCCCCGCCCCCTGCTCTATGCAGAAATTTCGTGCACTAGGCCTCTAGTTTAGTATAACATCCCATGTCTCAAAATTGATGTTTCCTTGCTTTTTACATGAACTTGTTGGGGTGACATTGGGTAATAGAATGATATAGGTTTCAGGTGTACCATTCTATAACGCATCCACTGTACATTGTAGTGTGTGTTCACCACCCCAAGTTATGTCTCCTTCCATCACCATTTACGTGGTTGACCGTCAAGCTCTCCCCTCTTCTCGCTGCCTCAACACCCCACTTCCGCCTGCCATTCACATTGCTATTGTCTGTCCATCAGTTTTTCTTTTCTTTTTTTTCTTTGCTGATTCCCTTCACCCATCTCACCCAGCCCCCAACCCTCTCATCTCTGACAGCTGTCTGTCTGTTCTCTGAATCTATGAGTCTGTCTCGACTTAGCCAAGTGTCCTGGGTTCGATTCCGGTCATGGTCACATGCCCCCGTTGTGGGCTCGATCCCCAGTAGGGGGTGTTCAAGAGGCAGTCGATCCATGATTCCCTCTCATCATGGATGTTTCTATCTCTCTCTCCCTTTTCCCTTCTTCTCTGAAATCGAT